GAGAGCTGGGGCATCCACAGAGAAGGCCCTCCCCCGTGGGCCCGCCAGCCGGCATTGTTTAGCTGATGGGACCCTGAGGAGACCAACTCTGTGGGATCTTACCGGTTGCTGGGAGCTATGCGGTAGAAGGTGGTCTCGAAGATACCCTGGCCCTGAGCCATGTAGGGCTTTAAAGGTAATAACCAACACTTTGAATTGTGACCAGAGACCAATAGGGAGCCAGTGCAGCTCGCGGAGAACTGATGTAATGTGGGTGTATCTAGGTGCACCCACGACAGCTCTTGTGGCTGCGTTCTGGACCAAGTGTAGTCTCCAAACACTTTTCAAGGGTAGCCCCATGTAGAGCGCGTTGCAATAATCTAACCATGAGGTGACAAGGGCATGAGTGACTGTGAGGAGAGCCTCCTGATCCAAGTAGGGTCGCAATTGGTGCACCAGGCGAACCTGTGCAAAGATCCTCCTAGCCACAGCTGACAGATGTTGCTCTAATCTTAGCTGTGAGTCTAGGAGGACACTAGGAGGACAAATTGCGAGCCCGTTCTGAGGGGGACAATTTCTCCCCCCCCCCCGAACCAAGGATGGACAATCAGCATGGTCTTTAGGAGGCAATACCCACAGCCACTCGGTCTCGTCTGGGTTAAGTCTGAGCCTCTTGACTTCCATCCAGACCCTCATGGCCTCCAGGCACTGGCACATCATATCCACCGCCTCACTGAATTGACGCGGGGTAGAGTGACTTTATCCGACAGAAACTGCACAAACACCTCAGCTCTACCCTGCAAGGGCTCCTCCACTCTCCCTGCATTAAGGAGGGAGCGAGTCACTCTAAATAGGGTGGCTGGGCGTGAATCAGTGGATGCAATAAGTGCGGAAAAATGCGAACATTTTGCTGCCCGTATTGCCACTAAATAAGTCCTAATAAGAGTGTTTGGTCAGATTCGGAGTTACTGGTTTTCCAGCATCTCCCTAGACGTCTCTTCTGGCGCTTCATCTCCTGGAGCTCCTCGGTAAACCAGGGAGCTTTCCTGGATTTACTGCCATGGAGAGGTCGCAAAGGCGCAATCCGGTCCAGTGCCCCAGATGCCGCCCTATTCCAGGCAGCCACTAGGGACTCAGCCGGACTGTGGACAAGGGAGTCAGGTATCTCCCCAAGCTCCTTCTGGAACCCTTCAGGGTCCATTAGGTGCCTGGGGTGAAACCACTTAATCGGCTCCACCTCCCTGCGATGGAGGAGTAGCGTCCTGAAGTCTAACCTCAGCAGGAAATGATCTGACCACGACAAGGGCCTGGTGGCTCAGCAGACTAAAAGCATTGTGATTAACACCAGCTGTCTGCAATTATTGTAAGTTCGAATCTCACCAGGCTCAAGGTTGACTCAGCCTTCCATCCTTTCTAAGGTAGGTAAAATGAGGACCCAATTTGTGGGGGCAATAAGCTGACTTCATATAAATATACAAAAGTATGAAGGCTATTGCTTAATGCATTGTAAACCGCCCTGAGTCTCCAGAGAAGGGCGGCATATAAATCAAATTTTTAAAAAAAGGGGGGGGAGAAGCATTTATACCCCTTAATTCCAGATCATATCTCCACTACCCCGAGAGAAACACCAGGTCAAGTGTATGTCCCCCCCTCATTTGTCGGACCCTGAACTACTTGGATCAGGTCCATGGTTGTCATGGAAGCCATGAACTCCTGAGCCGCATCTGAGGATTCGCCAAGTGACGGCAAATTGAAGTCCCCCAGTACCATAAGCCTGGGGAACTCCACCGCCAGCCCAGCTACGCCTCTAGCAGCACAGGCCGGGCTATTGTAACGCAGCTGGGAGGCAGATATATCAGCAACAAGCCCAACTGAACCCCTGAGTCCAACCTCAAGAGGAGAGACTCACACCCAACAATCTCAGGGGCAGGGATCCTGCGAGGGCAAAGACTCTTCCGGACAATAGCTGCCACTCCTCCATCCCTTCCCTGGAGTCGCGGCTGATGCAATATCTGGAACCCGTCTGGGCACATCTCTGAGAGGGGCACACCCCCCTCCTGGCCCAGCCAGGTCTCAGTTATGCATGCCAGGTCAGCCCCCTCCTCCAGGATTAAGTCCCGAATGAGCAGGGCCTTGTGGACAACAGATCTGGCATTAAACAGCAGCAGCCTGAGGCCAGGGCCCTGACATCCTGAGTCACCAGGTATACGAGGCAAGCCCGGTGAACCAGAACCAGAGGGGCCGGAACAAGTAATCGCTTTGAAACAGCGAGTCCTAGTTCCCCGAGCGCGGCCTACCTCCCGCCATATCTATCTCTCCCAGTCATAACCGCAATACTCCAGCTCTCTAATACCCCAGAGATCCCCTCCCCCACCTCAACAGCCCCTCTCCTCTCCGGCAGGCAAGGCACCCCACTCACACTGAGCCGGGGGTCGTATCTGAGCCCCCATCTGCTTCTGTTTGCACACTCAGCAGAGGGGGCTCCATTTCTTGCCCCCAGCTCCCTCATTCTCCCCAAATTCAGCCACTCCAAACCCACTCCTTCCATCCAATCCATCCCCACACACACACACACACACACACACACACACACACACACACACACACAGGCATGTGTGTTTAAATGGGGGTTTAAATTCCGTAACTGTGGAAAAATTATCTGCTTTATTTTGTAAATAAAGGGAAATATTTTCTGTGATCATATGCCACTTTACTCAGCCGAGTTCTCCCCTGCACATTGCTTATTTTTCCTGTGGGAAAGTAACTTGCAGAAACAGGATGACAGTATAACATCAGAATGTTAGCAGTTTGCTAGGATCATCAGGAAATCAAAGAAGAATTCTATCAATGCACCAAATGATGGATGAAATGAAACTGCAAACCTAAAAATGCAGATAATACCTAAACCATTTACTATGGACAATTTATTTGGATCTTTGTTTTTTAACCATGGATACTCAAAACCTGCAGATAATGAAGTCCACTGTATTAGCATTTATTGTAAAAATTCCTTGCTAATTCTACTAAGGTGATTTAGTGTAATACTATGTAAATTGCATTTTTGCTTACATAGCATTTGTATGGCTTGTTTGCTGTGCTCTCATTATTTTATGACAGATAGGAGGATTGTGTTGCAATCATAAAAACTTAAGATAAACCTTGGGATCAATAAATAACATCCACGTTAAACATTTGCTAACTATATACTTCTTCAAATAAATATTAACTCTTATAAACTTTATAAACTATTAGCATTCATGGCATATTCAGTATTATTAATTAGGGTACATTTTATTCTGTGTACATGGAAGTGGTTTATGGTTTAGTACTACTATTAAACTAATAAGGAGCCCAAGTTAAAAAAATCATTTTTGTATGCTTTTTATTTGTTCTGTGTAGTTGAAAAGAAGCATAAATTCAACTTTCTTTTCCCTGATTCCTTGTTTGTAATTATGAAATCCCCAAATTATTTAATGAAGTGGAATGAATATGTAGGAAGAAGGCTTGCCAAACTAACCTTGACTCATTTTTCAATCAGATAAATTCTTAATAGATTGTGGGAATGCTGTTGACAATACAGCTTAGCTTCAAAGAATTTGACAAAGTACCTCATGACATTCTTATCAGCAAGCTAGTTACACTAGGTGGATGGCATGATAATTAAGTGAATATATCAAAATGGCTCAAAAATGTAGCTCAATAGTACTCATCAATAGTTCCTCATTAAATTCAAGAGAGATTATTAAGCGTGGCCCCCCAAGGATTAGTTCTGTGTCCTCTAAACATCTATTCTTATTAATGGCTTGGATGAAGAAATGGAGGGAATCCTTATCAGTTTTTTAAATGAACCAAACTGGGTTGGCTAATTATCCTAGAAGAGAAAAATAACATTCAAAACTTTGATAAGTTAGCCTGAAAGTAACTGAAGGATACCGTATTTAACAGAAGCAAGTGCAAAATTCTTCATGTAGGAAGCTAAAATGAAAAACACATATATTAGTCATAATATTTATTCTACTTTGGTTAGCCCCAACTTTGAGCTCAATTTCTAGTTCTGCTTCTTACGTTTTTAGAAGGATTCAGAGAAATTAGAATGGGTTCAGAGAAAGGCAATCATCTTGAGAGGTAGACCAGATAGGAGACATGACCAAAATGAGCTAATTCTACTGTATTGTAATATAATGTAACAGGAACCTTGCCAAATGTGAAATAACATTTCCCTTTCTCACATCCCCTTTACAACTCAAAAAACTAGGAATAGGGTCCTTTCTGAGCTGCTTGCCTCATCCCTGTTGTGGGCTAAATTGCCTTTTATATTTCTTTCCAATGGTCATTCCCACATACCATTACAGCAGTGAGGGTGATTAGAGAAATAATGCAGTGCTGTGTTGGAAAAGGGATTGAAGGAGCTATGTGTTTAATCTCAAAACAAGACTACTGAAAGATAGTTTGATACAAGTGTAATATTATGGAAAGTCAAACGTGTTCTGTTCCACAGCACAGGACACAGGTGTTCTCCTGATAAGATAACAAAGAGTAAAACAATTTAGTAGAGGTTAGGGCAACAGTAGAATATTCTGAAACTGCAGATCTATGGAAGACATAGCTCTTAAGTCTACATTATTCTGCTTAACTTGCTATGTTGCTACAGGTCTTTGATCAGGGCCTCTTTAACATTTGAGGAGAGAGGCTTCTGAACCAAAGACAGCTGACTTAATGATTGTGGCCTTGTACAACTAATATGAGTTAAGAAGTTGCAGCTGTTCTCAATAGTTAAAATGTCTTGGGGTGTTATTTCAGGAATCGGTTGGGGGGGGGTGTAAGACCCTTGGGATGGCTAAACTGAATAGTTCTTGCAGCCCCAAAACAAGTTGTGTATACTAATATTGAGGTTATTGAATGCTCTTATGAAACAGTCCTTTTAGATTATTAGAATAATTTATTGACTTAAATAACAATCAATAATTAATTTGTGAACAACTTGCCATTGTTGTTAGTGTACATTTTCTTCTGTTTCCCAGAAATTAACCAAACAGGAATTCTGGCAGCTTGTCCACCAGAGCTATGGCTCTGAGCTTGGCTTGAATATAGAAGAGATGGAAAGCATTTATTCATCATCGGAAGAGAATGGACAATTAAGGTAAGGAAATATTATAGATTGCCACATTGTTACTGTATTTTTGCTTTTTTGGACATTGTGTTTTGTTGATAGGACCATCTATCGATATAAACTTGGTATAATTTATTCTGTCAGGGATATTTTAGGTACTAATTCTTGTTATGCTGGTTGCTGAAAACTTTTTATCTTTGGTTTCACTACATAACAAAGCAGTAGTATTTAAATGTTTTTGAATATGCAAATTGTTCAGTTATGTACAGAAGATTGATTTTACAGAATCTTTATAGAAGATTGTCATATAAACCCAACAAATATGGCATTGCTATGGTTGCTTGCAATTGTATTGTCAGGATTAAGAGCAGATCGATTCAGGTTATATAGGTTTTTGGCCCACTTTAATAGGTAGGTGATAAACCTTCAGTGCTGATGGCAAATTAAGACCTTGGACCTTATCAGATGCTGAACTAAGTCACTATCTTGAAGTCTGTTCCTCCAACAAAACTCAGTGGCCCTTCTGTCAAGATCACCATTGTCCTCTAAAATGAAGTTTTCATAAATAGATTTATTTAGCTATAAACTATTATGTTTTCCCCTGTTTCCCCCAAAATAAGACATTCCCTGATAATAAGCCCAATTGGGCTTTTGAGCGCATGGCAATAAGGCCAAGCGCTTATTTCAGGGTTCAAAAAAATATAAGACAGGGTCTTATTTCCGGGGAAACACGGTATGTACAGCAGAACTGAACATGCTTTCTATCCCGTTGTCTGTGCCCCTCCCGCCCTCCACCCCCCGCCCATCTGCCCCAAGTCTTTACAAGAGCTAGCAACAAATGGTATGTGCTTAGGTATTGGCTGGGAAATACTTTGCTTTCAAATCAAGCCTCTACTTAGGCTTTGTTCTACCAAGTACTATCTAGGTAGTTTGGATTTCAAGTCCTGCCATCCCAAACTGGTAAATTCAATAACTGCTAGTTACAGATCATATCTGATGAGCTTTAGTTTGGAGAAAATTATCCTAGAAACTTCCTATGTTTGTCCTTTTGCCTAATCATCCTAGATGTGAGTAATTATACAGAAGATATTTGGGAAAATAAAACTATAGATAAGCAAAGGGATTTTTTTCCCCTCATTCATGTAACAAAATATAACACAATGGTACTGCTTTTTGACAAGTTCTGAAAAATGATGTTCCTAAGAGATAAAGACATCATTTGATGGTAGAAAGATTAAATGTTTAAGGCAGATTTGTTTTCCAATCTGCTTTAAATACAATACTGGTATATCACTGTATTAACAAATGATTCTAGAATAAGTACGAATTAACATTGTTGCTATTTTTGTATAGATCTAACCTTAGCGATGAATCTGGAGATAAGGAACCAGCTAAGTCTGTTGGTATAGTTCAAGAATCCACTGCTCTGACTGACGTTGAGACAGAATTTCTTACTGGAAACTCACTTTTAGAAGTAAGCTTTTAAAACATTCCTTTTCACTATAAATGCATTATTTACTTTATTAACTTGTTTTATATTCCTGCATATAAATATATACTGTTTAAACCATTATATACACCATAGTTTAACAACAGAAACATAGTATAAATATTTAGAATTTATCATAACTAAATATAAAAATATAATCAAATAAATTTTTTAATGCAAGACAATCTATATATTTACATAAATGCAGATTGCCTCTCTGCTAATAGATTTCTCATATTCTTTGAGAAATCAGTTTTGTTAAATGAATTGTGTTATAAGCTATCCAAACTATGATAAAATAGCTGCTGTGGCCTCCATTCTCTGGAATATTCTCTCATCACAGGTGAGTTCCACACTCACATTCTTGGCTTTCTGGAAGAGCCTAAAAACTTTGCTCTTGTGCTTGGCTTGGGCACTGAGAGGGCCTATACATTGGGGATGGCTGATGAGACAAAAGATTCTCATCACCAGACTACTCATCATCTTGGTTCTTAACTTTTAACATTTTTATTCTAATTTTAATTGGTTTTTTTTAGCACTTTTAAACTTTTTGTTATATTGTAAACTGCCCAGTTACTATATTAGTGAGTTGGGCAGCATTAAATTTAGTAAATAAATTGAATAGCTTTCTAGACTGAAAATAGTTCAGTGAATTCCTTATTGGTTCATAAATAAGCCCTTCTGATTTAATAACACATACTATATTTCCTAAAAAAAATTGTTATTATATTCTTTACTGCTACATTTTCTGAAGTTACTTATGTCAATTATTTTATTTTGAAATGAATTCTAATCTTACATACCATATTTGCTATTATTCAATTAATTTTTAAAAACTAACCTACAAAAATAAATGAGAAATAGAAATCAAGCTAGTCATATTCTTGTAGACTAAAATTCTTATTATTGTGGATATACTGAAAATATGTAGCATAGCATGGTGATAATTTGTACATAGTTAGAAATTTAGATTTTTAACAGGTTTCAAAATATTGTCATCATATATAACAAAATCCTGTTATTACATATAATATCACTATACTTGCACTCCAACCTGAATATCAAATCCTTTTTTTTTTGGCATTTGATACTGCTAAGATACACACACAAAACCACAAATCTATATATATGTATAGTACACCAAAGGTCAGGCCCCACTTATAATATTATCTAAAGTATATTAAGTGTTTGGATTGTCGAGGACTATCTGTATTTGAAATGTGTGTAGATATGTGGGTTTTCAGGAGTTTGTGAGTGGTTTTGGAAGCATTTAGAAAGTTTTTGTATTTTCTTTTTGGAAAGCTAAGATTGTGAATTGTCACGTTATTAAATAAGATGGCTGTGAGAATGATATTTTATTTTATTAGGTTGCTGAACCAGAGGAATGTCATTATGATAAACAAGACAAGAGGAATTCATTGATTCCTTTAGAAAGGAAGCTCTCTGATGTTGTACCACACAAAGTTTCATTACAATCCTTGGATGTAAATGAGAATATTCCTAAAGAGAAGAGCAGTGCCTCAGAAAGTGATGAAGACGGTAAATAATGTTCCAGTCTTAATGTTCCATACAGTGCAAATTACAGCAACAAAAGAAAACATAAATCATCTTATCTATGGAATCTGCTCGTGCTTATCTTACTGCTAGTAAAACTGATAGAAAATGGCCGAGTGTTGTGGCTGCCTTAGGCAATAGATCCCAAGACCTTGAGAGATAGTGTCAGGTTGGAGGACACAATCAGTACATGTAAACTGATCATCCTGTTTCTCCTTCAATAGTTCATTACTTACTGTCAAGTTTGAAAGAAAGACAATAGGATCAGTTTGGAAAGCTTCTGTACAAATAACAATGTGGAAATATTGTCTAAAGATCATTAAAAAAGATTTATATCTCACCTTTTTTTTTTAAATAGGAGGAAGGTGTATTGGATATGTTCACCACCTTGAGTTATTTGTAAAAATGATAAAGGTGGGATATAACTAATCAAATCAATACATAAATAAATAAATAAGTGAAGGAGAACGCACACAATAGTCCTTCCTCCCCCCTCTTTTCCCCACAACAACCCTGTGCACTGAGATTGGACTGAGAGACAGTGACTAGTCCAAAATCATCTGGAACTCAGTCTTCTGGCTTCTACCCTGGTGCGTCACCACTCAGAATCATACTCTGCCAATGACTGCTATTTTATCTTTTATTTATTTATTAGTTTGTCAAACATGTACAAGATAGCAGGTATAAATATGAACATGGACATGAACGAAAGAAATGAATACAAATAAATGGGGACAGTAGGACAGGGATGGTAGGCACGCAGGTGCGCTTATGCATGACCCCTTTATGGACCTTTTACATCAACGTGATGTCATTATGTGATCTGCACAATATAAATTAGAAACAAAGCTGCTGCAGACATAGCATCAATTGTCCCCCCAGTATCCCTGGCTACTCCAAGGCCAACCACAATTATAGTATTGATGAAGCCTTTATCATAGCCATGGATGAGAGGCACTATTCAGCACATAATGATGGTGATGCAGATACTGCCTTTTACAGATAGTAAAGTTTCAGTAACAGACCACAAAATGTTCCAAACTGAAATCTTCCCTAACTCTAAAGCTTTCCATGACATGAGCACTAGATTGCAATGAACATAGGACATTTTATGCTACAATGCTATTTGCTTTATTTTTCTAGTAAATAATTCCAAAATTCTAGTAAATAATTCCGATTTGGACAAACCATTTTTTAAAAATGGTATAGGATTTCCTGCTTGAGCAGGAGTTTGGACTAGAAGACCTTCCAACTCTGTTATTCTATTTATCCATTTCTGCAAATACCAGGGCATGTATAATTCTTGGGAGATTCTTAAAGCAATAAACATGTTGCACTTAAAGCAGGAGAATACATGACTTGTGAATTATCTTCATTTATTTTAATCATATGGCCAGTGCTATTAATTACTCTATCAGCTATTTTTGCAAGGATTTTCAGTACTTGCCTGTCATTACTATAGAAAAACCTTCCACCTCAATTTCTCTATGTTATATTTTTATTTCAGTAATCATTATCATGCTGGCATTATAATCTGAATCCTAGTGTTGTGATATTGTTTTATTTTAATGATGAAGAATCTTCCTTCCATACTTACAGTTACAACTCAACTATTTTCTTTCTTTTCCAGTCCATTGATGAATTAAGATTAAATGGATTATCTGATAAAATCTCCTTCTCCTCCTCCTCCTCCTTTCTGCATATATTTCATAGTATCTTTGATTATTCTTTTGTAAGTTTTGTTCTTGTTTCTCCTGTCACCACCTTCAACATCAAGGGATGCTTTTTAAAGTCCTTCATACAGTGGTGAAATCCAATTTTTTTTACTACCGGTTCTGTGAGCATGGCTTGGTGGGTGTGGCAGGGGAAGGATACTGCAAAATCTCCAATCCCACCCCACTCCAGGGGAAGCATACTGCAAAATTTCCATTTGCACCCCACTCCAGGGGAAGGATACTGCAAAATCCCCATTCCTGGGGGAAGGCTATTGGAAAATCTCCATTCCCACCTCACTCTGGGGCCAGGTGGTATTTTCCGGTACTCCAAACTACTCAAAATTTCCACTACCGGTTCTCTGAACTGCTCAAAATTTCCACTACCAGTTCTCCAGAACCTGCCAGAACCTGCTGGATTTCACCCCTGCCTTCATAAGTATAACTGTAGATTTCTAGAATCCTTCACACTTTGTAGGCAAGTAAACTGACAAATTTTCATTAAGTCTTCTAATTCTAAACTGCCATAAATGCTTAAGGTGTTTTCTAAAATATATTTGGAGATTTCCATTTAGGGAATTTTGGCAGGAAAGTTGCTGGGAAGAGGAACTATTCTGTCCATTACCTGCATTTGATAAATTTAATCAAATTGTCTCACATAATTGTACTTTTGATGTCCTTTAAGTAGTGCAGACAATTTCATCTTTTGGGATATATTTTTTCTGAGGTAGCTGTTACCGAGTTCTTAACCTGTGTTTTAAACTCTTCTCCAATAGCTGAGGAAGCCATCCTTGAGTGTGAACTCCATGGAAAACTCTTTATTAATCGCATTTTCCATATTGGTGCAGATAAACTGTTTGAAATGCTTTTCACCAATTCCCATTTCATGCAGACATATCTGAGGACTAGAAATATAACAGGTAAATTATTTTAATTTGTACTGTCTACATTGAGAAAAAAAACAAGTTAATCTCCCTTTTAACAAGATGAATAATATTGTGTTAAAAGCAACTGATACAAAGACTGGGTTCAAATATAATGCAAACCCATTTTTTTTCATGGTTGCATTCTGATGACTATATACCACTTCTTTTGCTCTTCCCTTTGCTTGACTGGGCAAACAAGTAAAAAAAAAACATGTCTGGATAACATCTGAATTGAGAATCTATTAATAATTAATAATCATTCTGAAACGAACTATGGTTTAAATTTAGCTCAGATCTTGGTTTTTGAGAAGGTTATTCAGCCTTTAGATATAACTGAATGTTTGGATGCAATGGGGTTTTAACTGCAGTATTTTGGCTTTGTTTTCCTGTTCAGAATGATGCATATCTTGACTTTTTTTAAAGCTAGGAAATGATTATCTGAACACAGTCATTGTCAGAATATAAACATGCTCACAAGTTATGGCTTATTCGCAATCAACCCATGTGGATTTGAAATCACAATTTGATATTTCTTTGCAAGTTATATTGAATTAACAAAATGCAGATGGATACAATAGGTTATCATACTGTAGAGAGAAGAATGAATTTATAAAATGGAGCACTGATCACCTGAGTAGAGAAAGCAGAAGTGCATCCAAACATTAGGTGATTCCACGTTTAAATAGTTTTCATTCAAAAAGTTTTGCACACAACTAATGATTAACCCTCACCATAATTTTGTATTAAGTTTCAGTTCAGCTGATATCAGAGAACACCACTGATACGTTATTGTTATTGCACTGATAGATCTTACTTTAATTAATTAAAATTCTTTTACTATGATTAATGTTTCACATGCTTTTCTAACTAAATGGAAGGTTTGTGCTTTTTTAAAGAACTTTTTCTAATGTAGATAAAAATAGATTGTTGCAGAAAACAATGGTCCCATTAGTAGGTTTCTTTTAGGGCATTGCAATTAATTGTAGGCTGCTGTTAAAAATACCACCAACATTTTGCTTTGTTTTGTTTTATTGTTTATTTCATTTCATTGTTTTTTTTGTTTTTGTTTTTTTTGTTTTTGTTTTTTATTGTTTTATTTCATTTGCCTGGTTGCATATTTACTTTTCTGTTCTGAATAGTTTTTGCTGTATGTTTTCCTGCGTCAACACAACACTTATAGATTTAACCACTGCTATAATATGATGGGGTTAAACCCCAAATATATTTTAATATATATAGAAAAAAAAATCCAGAAGAAAGCACTCATTTATGGACACAATCTCAATCTTTATCATAATGGTTCAAGCCAGTTTCAGAATAATAAATTTGGGGATTAATTATTTAAAATCCATTACTGTATACCACATGTTATATGATAATTTCGTAGTTCAATTCACTTTGCCTTGCATGTATGGTTTAAGGTTGCTAAATGATACTGTATAAATGAATAGCGATAATGACTTATATTTTTGGCTTTAGATATTGTATCAACTTCGTGGAACCAAGATAATAGAGGCAATCAACTCAGGACCCTGACTTACAGAATTATACTTAACAATCCACTTATTGGAAAATTCACAACTGCAACAGAAAAACAGGTATAAAACTCAATTGTATCAGATTGCACTGAACTGGCGGAAACTACAGAATACAAAAAGTTGGGGTCTATGCTATGTAGAGCTTTATAGGTGATAGCCATTTGGTAGCAAATTAGAATAAGTGCAGTTTGTGGAGTGTTGATATTATGTGGACATGCTGAGGCAAGCCCATCACTGTTCATTCCACTACATTTTGCAGCAGATGAAGCTTTAAAAGAAAGGATTGCAAAGATGTGCTATCTATCTTTGGTTATCCATTGACAGAATATCGGGAAAAAAATAGAAGACGTTCTATTTTTTTCCCGATATTCTGTCAATGGATAACCAAAGATAGATAGCACATCTTTGCAATCTTTGCAAGACGTTGGGCATCATTAAACTTATTCTAGACTTGCTTTCCCCAAAACTAGTGCTCTACAGCTGTCCTTGAGCAACAATTCTCATAATTTCTGATCAGTATTTTGGCTTGGAATTATAGAGAACTAAGTTCAATTTCCACTTGAGGCAATATGTTGAGAAAAGCCGTGTTAGGATATACACAACTATGTAGTGTGATCATTTTAGAAGTATACTTTCTTTCAGGACTTCTACATTTATTGTGGTGCAAAAGTTTTCCCAGTTAGTTTTTGAACATCAGCATTTTTTTTTAAAAAAGAGTTCTTTTCTGCTTCCATATTAGGTGCTGCATAAACGAAGCCACAAAGATCGGTCTTACCAAGTAGACGCAGAGGTGGTGACACATGATGTGCCTTACCATGATTACTTCTACACTGTGTACAGTTACAGTATCTCTCATATGTCCAGTCAAAAATGCAGACTCCGGTGAGACATTTCGTTTAATGACAGTAGTAAAACTGGAAATCATAAAAGACAGCTTTTCTCAGTTCGGTAAAACAAGGAAGCTTAGGAATGCCAGGCTTTAATTTGTATACTTAGATGATTGGAAAATGATCTCTTGACTGAAAAAATGTTTGCTCTTTTTTTAGTTTCACTTTTTTCCCCTATGAAAGTTTTAGTAGAATTTTTTTCAACAAACTAATATTGGCTCTATGATCTATATGCCCTACAAATCTATGGATGTATGGTGCATCTGTCATCCAAAGTTACATAGAGTTGTGAAGCAGCTATTTTCTCTATTTCCTCATTCAGCTCTCAGTGTTTGTGTTCAAGATGTTACCTTAGTGATCATGCTTTGTTTTGTGTATACAGCTTCTTACCTGAAGCTGAAAGCCTGCAAAAATTGCTCTCAAAATGGATGAAAATGCTGATGTTACCTATAGTTGTATTCCAATCAGTTGCTAGCTTTATTCTTGTTTGTTACAGGATTTCCTCAGATGTGAAATACAAAAAACAACCATGGGGGCTTGTCAAGAATATAATTGAAAAGAATACATGGGGAGGTATCCAGGAAAATTTTAAACAACTTGGTAAGTATGGTATTTTTCCATCATTCTTGACAATGGTATTCATGGCTTTTATATTTAATTAGCTTGGCTATTTAGAAATAGTGAAGAACTGCTGTATTCTGGGTCTATTGATCACAAATGTACTTCAATACATCAATGCAAAAGTATTTTGCTCCATTTGGTATTAATAAGTCAAATTTAATTGTAAATTTTTATTCATTCTGATCCCTCTAGTGTCCATCCTTCAAAGTTCCAAGCAATCATTTTTTCTTTTAAGAATTTAAAACAACAGCATTTTCCAGGCAAAGGTTTTATAACTGATTTCAAAATGTTACTTCAAATTCATCTGGACCATTTATTCATTTGTAACTTTCCAAAATCAAAATCTCTTTGTCCAGAGAGGAATCATCTTTTTTCCATCATGGTCTTAATGGAACTATGTTCAGCTCGCCATTTCTTTCCTAGAAATCTTGAATCAGTTTATGATAATTCCAAGGTAGAAGATCCAAAAATAAAATAAAATCATATTACTATTCCAGTATTGTTTCTACTGTATGTAGTATAATGAAATTTTCAGGTTGATTCTATATGAAACTCAAGATTTACTGAGTTTCAAAATCAAGTAATTGGGTTTTTTGTTTTTTAAAGAAAAGCTTATCTTGGCTTCATTTTCTTTCTCTTTTTTAAAATGTAACATTTATCAGTATATCAAATGTACATTTCTTGTTTTTTCTTAAGTGGAAAGTGCAGTTTCTGCATTTCAGTAGGCAGATCTGATTCTTGTCATACTACTGATTTAAACTATCATTTTGTATATATAAATGATAATTTGTTAAGAGAGAGAGACATAAAGAGAAACAGACATGAATAAAATTAATGAACTTCTTAGTAGTGGAGTTTGGGCCAGCAATCTGTAAATGTCATAAAACAGTTTCCTTCCACTTGCCCGCCAGATATTATCAGACCAATTTCCCACAATTTTTAGCTGGTATTAAATTAAACTATGATTTCTGACAACAGAAATCTCAAAATACATGGATGCTGTTCCAGAAGGTTAGCTTAAAAAAAAATAGAAACTATAAAGTAAAAACTGGAAAACTGATTCTGTCATTTGTAGAATCAGCATTACTAAAGGAAGAATATGGAATAAACAAACCTATTGAGGATCCTGCAAAACTTGGAGTCCTAAGAAGGAGAAGATGGATTTTACAGCGGAATTCAGAAGAAACACTTCCTAAACACTCTATACAAGATTCTACAGAAGACAAAAGAACAATACCTCTTGGGAATACAGGTGGGTTCAAGTAGAAATATTCCCCCCCCCCAGCTATTTATGAAACTGAAGGCGTTGTTTATTTTAGTACTAGAGGTCATAGTATTTCTGCACAAGTGTCATACAGGCTTTTCTTGCTTGTCCATATGCAGCAAATCCAGAGTATTTCAACATAAATATGTGTGGTGCAGCTAATTGTAAATAAAGTTCAAGGAAAAGGCTGTTGGCATACAAAGCCTTATATTCTGGATAATTGACATAAGCTACTTGATATATTACTTATGCAGCTATGGTTGTATTTTCCCATCTACAACCACCATTTTAAATTCTGAAATAATTATGAGCCTTTTTGTAAAATTGCACTTACTTTCTAGAATACTGAAGTTTTTCTTGCTATGTTAGTCATAGCACATTGAATGAGATTTGCATATGGCCATGTACTAACTGCTTTTAAAAATAATTGTATGTGTTGAAATCCTTATGGCATCATTTAATGTACCATCTCCCTTTGCCCCCTCCAACTCTAATTTTAGACAATTTAAGTGGCAGCATTTAGTGACCTTGGCTGCTCTGAAAAAGACCAAGGGTTCTGGCCTAGTTTATAGGTAGGAGACCTACCCAAAATATGAAGCTGTGGGCTAGAGTAGGAAATTTAAAAACAAAACCCAACATAGAAAAAGGCAGAGACAAACTAGTTCTGTACCGTTACCAAGAAAATATCATGGGCCTGTCCATATAGTCACCAGATTCAAGTTTAAGTCAAGCGAGTTTTTATCTTATGTTCAAAAAGCATCCAGATCAGGCATAACCTTGAACTGTTTTCCTGCTTTGAGGGAGACAAATCTTCAGCAAAGGGATTTAGTAAAATCAGGTTAACTGAATTTCAAAATTAGAATGTTGTAAAGGTATTTTCCTTGCTTGACAGGAATGAAGAAGAATGCTACAAATAAAACCATCATCATCATAGTGGCAATGAGTATTTTGTAAGTACTTGCTTGATATTTCTTTTGGTTCAAGACTTCTTACAGCAGCTAAATGAAGGCTGGCTCTGACTGGACACGTCTTACAGCTGCTATTAAGACCTATAGTATGGCAGTAAAAAGTGGTGAAACAATACCATTTCTCTGTTCCTATTGCATCTGCAGAGTATCACCCATCAACCCTGTTGTGGATCACCCAATCCCTCCTTGGCCAGGGTAGTGGTGGTCAGATAATCATCTTCAGGGACGTGCAGAAGAATCTGTTGAGCACTTGTCAGATAAAATTGCTTGGATTTGTAGTGCAAATCTGTATGAGATACCTAGAGAGTCATCTTGCCCAGTAATCTGGTAACAGTTTGACCCTGTTGGATCTAAGAAAGTGGACAGAACCCTCTGTATTTTCAATGCAACCACCTGTCAGTTAGCCCCTTATACTTTCTGTCTGGTAGAAGCCTCCAGGAGGGTGACTGGTAGTGGGTTCATGCAGTAATAAATTCCTCACTGCAAGAGGAGACATTCCCAGGACCTTTTAAGGAGGCCCTGGTTTGTCTTCTTCCTTTAAAAAAAAAAAATCTCAACCCCACCTGCATGGACAACTTTCATCCAGTCTGTCATCTTTCCTTTTTGGGGAAGGTAGTGAAATTGACAGCTCCAGAGGGTCCTGGATGAAATGGATTTCCTGGACCGCTTTCAGTCAGGATTTAGGCCCAGCTATGAGACACAGACAGCCTTGGTCGCACTTGTGGACAATCTCTGGGGGAATGGGATGGGAGTAGTGCAACCATTCTTACTTTCCTTGACCTCTTAGCGGCCTTTGATACCATCTATCATGGTTTTATGGTTTATTTAACAAACAAACAATTAAATATGAAGAAAAAGTTAATTTAGCTTACTGATATTTGCGTCTATTACATATGAAGATTTATATTGTATATGGACCCTTTCTCAAGCCAGGAGAGCAGAAAAGATAAGCTTTTTGTGGATATAGTGCACTTAAGAAGTGATATGAACCTCTGGAAAACTAGAGTCCTGTGTTGTACATAAAGCCATCAGGAGTAAAATAAGCTCTGTGCTTTAAACATTCACTGGACATGATGATTCAATTTCATTCAATTTCATTGTACACATGTTGTGCATTGACAATAAAGGTTTGATTTGATGATAGGTGATAGTGATGGAATTGAAAATATAGGCTGTTTCTTCCTTCCTCATACTTTCCAAATAATGTTTGGAATGCTTAGAAAGGTTTGTTGTAATTACTCTGATAATTAGCTGCTCATCCTTCTTATCTGCAGGATCCTTTTCTTGCCCCTAGCGAGAACCTGAAAATTTGTAATTAAGATACAGAATTACTTCCAGATCTCACTGTTGCACTGGTCCATGCATTGTTTGATTTGCAAGAAGGTGTTTTCTTCAGGCTATAGAATGTCTCTGCAAAAGAGACTCCCAATTTCTTCAACTAACCCCCAGGATTGCTTATAAAGGGTCTGCATGCAAACACCCTGCTTACCAGGAAAAAACAGGAAAAAATTGTCTATATATCACAACAATTTATTCAGGGAATTTATACCTTGCATAGTGCATGGGGAAATCAGTTCAAGTGAAGTCTCGGCCAAAGAAGTTCACTGAGTGACTTTGAGCCAGTCATTCTAAATCCTCTTGAGATAAACATGGTGATTGTTATGGGAAAAATAAGAGGAGGGAATGCCATGTATATTGCCTTGAGCTTCTGAACAAAATATTCCACTAAAATAAAGAGCACCTAAAAGCTATCACAAAGGAAAATGCAGAATGTTTTGGAATTAGTCCTCTTCAATTTCACACACACAATCTCTTAATCTTTATTGTCAATATCATATGGCACATATCACATACAGATTTGCATTCAGTCTTTTCTCCAAAGTGATCAAAATTGATTATAGTTGTGGCTTATCCTGACAATGTATATCAGGGGATTGGTCCAGGAAGATGAAAGGAGACATATTTAATTGCCTGAATTTGATTCTATTCTGTATGATCTGCAAACAGATTATATAAAGGAGAATATTTGTGGTTCGGGGTTGAAATGTGGGCTCCTTGGTGCTCTCTGAGCTTGCTTGTTTTCTTGCAGATATTTCATTACCAAACTAGATAACATCATCAGTGCTAATTAGGAGTGTGGTTTGCTATCTATTATGTTTTCTTTATCCACATTCTAAAGCAAGGGTGTCAAACTTGCCGCGTCACGTTGCCGTCACGTGACGTTTTTCCCATTTGAGGAGCTGAGGTGGGCATGACACATCCAGTCTGTGGGCCACGAGTTTGACACCCCTATTCTAGAGCCACAATTTAGTTTACAGTTGGACTCAAATGCCACACTTAGCCTGAATGTGAGATGACTAATGTGTTGTAAGAACACAGTTTGTATCATTTTTACAGTACTATATATACCTTACACTTCAAAAGCTTTAATTATCTTGCTAAAGTTGTCATGAAGCTATAAATATTTATATTATTTATTCTTGTCATTAAGAATGCTTTTGCAAGAATTAGTAATGATAACGAAAACTGTCCATTTGTTTGGATTTTTTCCAGTTTAGTTCTGCTGGTTTTTCTGAATGTGGCACTGTTCCTGAAATTGTCAAAGATTGAGCGTGCAGCTCAGTCATTGTACCATGTTCAACTTCAGGAAGAAGGGTCAACAATGTGAGTATTTTTTGTTTTGTTCTGTCATTTGTCTCTTCCTCCATGGTCCCAGTGGGCTAATATTAGTTAATGCAAATGTTAGGTTTACATATTGCAGTTCACCTGAAAACTGAAGCTAGTGAAAAATGTACAACTTAGCAAAAGCACTTTAAAATTGCTCAAAAGATCTGCATTGAAATTGGAATGCTGCCAAAGCAGTTTTAGACATATTAAGCTCATTAAGCTCTTCATACAGGATATATAATGGATAACTTTTTCCACTGAGATTCAACAGAAATGGCCTCTGGGTGGTATTTTATTGGTCAGAGATTTGCTGTGCAGTCACCTAAGAAAAGCATTAGGTCTCCTATAATTTTGTACTACCATATTCTCTTACTGATATTGCTGAGTTTTGTTAATTTTTGGAATTGGTTGATGATTTATCATAAAAATTGAGGACATTGATCCATCCATGGCAGAAAATGGTTAACATTCTTGGGTGCATGTCTATGTTGCCACTTTGCTTGATTGGGGGTGGGCCAGTTAAAATATTTCACTGAAGGCACCTAATCAGTTCAGATTGTCTTGGGGATGTCTAGATTTTTTTCCCAGCTGCCCACGAGGTTGTACTTTGGAACTCAGAGGTGAATAATTGCCCCAAGCCATCTTTCCTGTATTACAGATACCAAAAGAATTCCTTAATTCTATAAGGCCATGATGGCGAACCTATGGCACGTGTGTCGGAAGTGGCACACAGAGCCATCTCTCTGGGCATGTGAGCCGTCACCCATTACTCTTCTGGCTTGTGGCGTGCTGGCCAGCTGGTCTTCACGCACATGGGAGTGCTGGAAACTGGAAGAGAAGCCGGCTGGTGACCATGCGCACACTGGAAAGATGATCTTCTGGGTTCCAGCGCGCACATGTGCACAGGCCAGTTGGTCTTCATGCACACATGTATGTTAGAAACCGGAAAACCAGGTGGCCGGTGCACATGCACATGCCAGAAACCGGAAGATCATCTTCCCGGTGCGTATATGTGCACTAGCCGGCTGCTCTTCTGGTTTCCGGCATGCACATGCTCACCAGAGAGCTGGTCTTTGTGCATGCATGCGTGCAGAAACCGGAAGATGGCTGGTGCGCATGCGCACCAGGCAGCTGCTCTTCCAGTTTCTGGCAGGCGCGCATGTGCACATGCACACTTCCATTTCGGCACTTGGTGCCGAGAAGGTTTGCCAACACTGCTATAAGGAGTTCCAGAAAATAAAGTTTAGGTCAATGCTGGGAGGAAATGAATTGTGATTGCAATTAACATGGTTATATACTCAACATTATCAATATTTTTGGCAATAATATTGGCAAAGTAATATCCATTGTTATTGCATCTGTAGATTTGAGTCTATTGACCCTAATGTTACCTTTACCCTTTATTGGTAGAGAGGAGGAAGAATGGCCACTATGATGTTTATGTGAGGTTTTTCATGGATAAAAGGACTTGCATTCATTTGGAAATTAATGCCAGACAGTATGTATATGCCTGGATTTGACAGGTGATCTAAACCTTTTTGAGAGAGGGGAGGTACCATCTACCGTGAAGGAGCAGAGATTTTTCCTCTCCTAAAGAATACAGCAGTATTTCTCCTCTCCTCTCCTCTCAATAAGAGCCTGGTGGCACGGCAGACTAAAGCACTGTTATTAACAGTTATTAACATCAGCTGCCTGTAATTACTGCAAGTTCAAATCTCACCAGGCTCAAGGTTGACTCAGCCTTCCATCCTTTCTAAGGTAGGTAAAATGAGGACCCGGATTGTGGGGGCAATAAGCTGACTTTGTATAAAAATATACAAAAGTATGAAGGCTATTGCTTAACGCATTGTAAGCCGCCCTGAGTCTCCAGAGAAGGGCGGCATATAAATTAAATAAAAAAAAAAATACAGCAGTATTAAACAGCATCCACAATTTCTGACCTTCCATTTTGGGGAAAGAATTTGAAAAAGGTATTGGGACTTTAACTATAGAAAATTCTAAACCCATTATCTAAACCTTTTTTCGGTCAGGATACAGGTCTCGTCCATTTTCTCACATTTCAAAACTCTGAAAACCATTCTTTTCCAGTAACCTTTTGGGATTGACTTGTGTATTTTATTGTATTGATTTTGGCTTTTATTTTTTGTAAATTGCTCTTAGTTAAGAGAAATTGAGATAGTGAAGAAATATTGTATAAATACATAAATAAATTCTGATTAAGCCACACTCAAAAGACCCAACTCTGGCGAAGCAGTTCTAAGGGGAATTTCCTTTCATTTAAGCTTTGCTTTTATTTAAAAAGAAAACTTGCATACTTGGAGTGCTTGGACATTATTTTTTTTTAATGAGAAAGTTCTTGGTAATGGGGAAAGCCAGGAAGTCATGGCAGAGGGCCTGAAAAAATATCATTACTCACTGCTCTGCATAGGAAAAAGTAAATTAGGAATCCCTAATACAACTGTTGTCACTGACAAGAATTCACTAGATAATGTATGCAAGATTTGAATGCATAATATTTATTTTTATGCCAGTACTGGCAATTTACTTGGGAAGTCACTTGATTATTTGTCGTTTTGAATGATCCTATAATCAATTATTTTCACATCAGTATGGGAAATGATGGTGCACCCATATGGTACTCGTAGTAGAACAATGTCTTAGGTTTGCAAAAATTGTACAAAATGGTAATATTCACTCTTTGAAACTTTTCAGCCTCCCTTAATATATTTGATAATTGAAATTCTATCCATCATGTGGTAATCTAGGAACTTTACTAGGAAATCCACTGTGTGGATTTTTCTAGTAAAATTAATATAGAGATGAGAGCAGTGGTGTAAATGTTTTTACTACCCGTTCTGTGGGAGTGGCTTGGTAGGGGGTAATATGACTGAATGGGCATGGCCAACTTTTTTTTTTTTACTTTTAAAAGCATTTTTTCTACAACCTCTTCAGCTGAAAAATGCTTTTAAAGCCTCTGACAATCCCAGCTGACTTGCCTGATCGGCAGAGGCTTTCTTTTTTTTTTAAAAGCCTCTGACGATCCCAGCTGACTTGCCTGATCGGCAGCAGCTTTTTTTCCCTTTAAAAACATTTTTTCTATAACCTCTTTGGCCAAAGAAGTTGTAGAAAAAACGCTTTGAAAAGCCTCTGATGATCCCAGCTGAGCCGCGCGATCAACAGAGGCTTTTTTTTAATTTTTAAAAGCATTTTTTTGGCCAAAGAGGTTGTAGAAAAAATGCTTTTAAAAATAAAAAAAAAGCCTCTGATGATTGTGCGGCTCAGCTGGGCAATGGGGGAGGGGGCAGGGATTTTTGCTACTGGTTCTCCGAACCACCCACCTCCATCGCTACTGGATCAGGCGATCTGGTCCGAACCGAGAACATTTCACCCCTGGATGAGAGTATGATTAAATAACATGAGAGCATGATTAAATTTGATGAAGCAAATATATTACATTTTAATGTTCTATTCTTTCTTCAGTCTAGCCCTTAATGTGGCATCAAAGGAGAAAACTCATCATAGTATGAATCAAGCCCAATATGTGAAAGGGGTGTTAAAGGATTCTATAGCTTTGCTTGAACAGGTAAGTATTCTGATCCTTATTGTTTTGAGCCACTGTATATGTAAGTACAGACATCATTGTGAATAACTAGAGCAGTTTTTCCCATCCTAGGAATTTTAAGATGTATGGACTACAACTCCCAGAATTCCCAAGTCAGCATTCTGGAAATTACAGTCCTCACATCTTAAAGCTGCCAAGGTTGAGAAACACTGATCTAGAGGATTAAGAAACAACATTGCTTTTCATTTACTTTCTAATAATTCTTGATGATTATAGCAAGTTAATGGTATAAAAACTGGTTTAGTTCAGAAGTCTCTTATATTCAGCAAGAATGGCTTAGCTATAACAGTATAAATATCTGCTCTACTGTATCTGCTGTCATCTGAGAATAATGCTGAAGGATGCATTGTACAATCTTCAATTTGATCCACCCTAGAACAGGGGGATGGCATCAGTGGTGGGTTTCAAATTTTTTTACTACCAGTTCTGTGGGTGTGGCTTGGTGGGCGTGGCTTGATGGGCGTGGCTAGGGGAAGGATACTGTAAAATCTCCATTCCCACCCCACTTCAGGGGAAGATTACTGCAAAATCCCCATTTCCTCCCAATCAGCTGGGACTTGGGAGGCAGAGAATAGATGGGGGCGGGGCCAGTCAGAATTTATACTACCAGTTCTCTGAACTACTCAAAATTTCCACTACCGGTTCTCCAGAACTGGTCAGAACCTGCTGAAACCCACCTCTGAATGGCATAGAACCAATCAATATCAGAAAGAGACAGCTTTTAAAAGCAGTTTGGAAATGAGGTGACCAACTAAAAATGTAGTGATCCTGCAACAGTCAAAGGTCTTCCTTCTGATTATCCTGACAAATAAGAAAGTCGTCTAGGCAAGCAGATCTAGAGGAGTCCTTAAGCATACGAGAATATAAATTGGAGAGTCTTTCAATGGCAGGACACTAACATGAATGGAGGCAGAAGTTGAGACTGGTGAAGCCAAAATCAGAGAGATGGGAGAGCCTTTATCTTTCCCCATTTTCATTTTGCGTTGATTAGAATCAGGGAGATTTCTTAAAAGGGTCTGACTCTTAATAGGCAATTACCTTGGTGCCAATAATAGTACAGAAGAAACCTAGAGCTTAAATAAATGCTGGCTGACTTTCATTGGTGTTATATATGATGTTATCTCAGTCTGAGACATCGTTGATAATTAAAATAGCACTACCTACCAAGTAAACTGGTGTCCCCCCTTCTTTCTATCTTTGCAAGTCCTTATTAAGGACTCCAACTGAAAATGGGATATAAAAATACTTTCCTGTGAAACCTAGAACTGCTTTGGGTTGGAAATAATTACATTTCTGATTCAAAGTATAATTTGTTGCGTATTCCTTATGCAATCTTTATCACTCCAGCTGAAGACCTCATTGTCTATGCTCCAGCATAGTTTTGATCACCTAAACAGAATCAAAGATGGGGACCCTGAAAGTTGATGTCACTAAAACCAGCTACTAAGAAGAATGAAAATATATTGCTGCGATGATAAAGCTGCTTCTTTATTACAGTCTTTTCATCACAATACTTTCACATATAATAAATGTTGTTCTGGAATAAGCTTTTTTTTAAAAGAATTTTCTTGTGAATTTGTGAATCTTTGTGAATCTTCCTGACCCACTTGATGTCTTATATGTGTGTTTCTGTGTATATATGTATGTGTGTGTGTGTGTGTGAGAGAGAGAGAGAGAGAGAGAGAGAACACTTTCTTGAGCTGTGAATATTGGTGGAAATGAATGTTTGAGAACAAAATGAGAGCTGATAATTATATATACATTGCTGATAAACACTTCAGCAAACCACTGGACTCTACTGTATAAAGTAATAAACACTGGATTTAGATGGAAACAATCTTAAGTGTTATGAAAAATGCAATATAAAATGTTTGGTTTATCACATGCAAAGTTTTTCACATCATCTTCCTTTTATCTATGTAAAAAAATCTTAAAAAGTAAATTGTTTCAACATTTGGCTTATTTGTTCCAGATATCTATGAATAAATCTAAATTTTACATGTAGCTTTTTCTGTTTGGGGGGAATTTGTTTTATGGATTATAACATTTCTTCCTCTTAGTCGCTATCATTTCAATTCTCAGAATTTCTCAGGGAATTTTCATTCATGTCTGGAAGTCATATTTAAAAATGACCAACCCTACATATCTTTAAAAAGTAACTAATGTATAATTTGATTTATATATTACAACCTTAGAGAGAGATCTTTGTAAGAATATTTGTATCATTTTATAGTTTTATAGTTTTCAAGGCCTGGGGGGATCATGTTCCTTGTAACAATTAAAGATGCAGAATGTGATATGTAAGTTTTCCGTTCTGATGAAGAAAACTAACTATCCCATTAAAAAATTCTAACTGTACTTCTGATAAAAAAAGAACAAAAACATTTAAAGTGTGATGCAAATAAAATTATGAACATCCAGTACTGTGTAGTTTTGATTATGCTGCGTATCTTTCTGTTAGGAGGAAGTAATCCTATTTGTGACTTCTGTTTAGGAGTCTTTATTTTCATTTGTCTTTTGTCAAAAAATGCTTTTTTAGTCCTTATATATAAAACTAGTTTAACTGATGAATCAGAAACACCTAAGGGATTTTGAAAAATAATTATTAATCACAGTACAACTAGTACTAATATGGATGGCAATGTATTAATAAGTGTAAACTATTAGTTTCTTAGTTTATAATTTGATAAAATAACAGTTGCTGTCTCATCTTTGCCAAGTGTCCTTACCATATTATGTTACTGAAATATGTTACCCAAATATAGAGGATGCTAGATTCCTTTAAAAAAGAAATGATTGAATATAAATGTGTTGTGTGTCATCTCAAAATATTGAACACAAGTCAAAGGGAATATGAATATAAGTGCTTCAAAACATACATTGCAGTTTTTGCCAGATTAATTTATGAAAAAAACTTAAGGAAATGATTGGTCCATTAGTGGGAGAAGATGTCAAGGAGGGTGATGGACAGTAGGGAGAAAGCAGAACTGCTTAACTCATTCTCTGCATCTATCTTTACACAAAAAGGAAAAAAAAAACCAATCCAATCTCAAAAACAGTAGCATAAAAGACAGATTAGGAATGCAAATCAAAATAGGCAAGAAATGGTAAGAAAATATCTATCTACTCTAGACGAGTTCAAAACACCAGGTCCAGATGGATTACACCCTAGGGTTGTGAAGAAGCTGGCAGACATGATAGAACAATTGAACTGTATCTTTCAAAGATCCTGGAGCACCAGGGAACTATCAGTTGCCTGGAAAAGAGCTGACATTGTTCCTATCTTCAAAAACAGAAAAAATGGATCCAGGAAAATATGGACCAATCAGTGTGACATCAATTCCTGGGAAGATCCTGGAAAAAATAAATAACAAATCTGTGAACATCTAGAGGTAAGCAAACTTATAACCAAAACCCAACACAAGTTTGTCAAAAACAGATCATGCCAGACAAATCTTATTGCATTCTTTGACAAAATGACAAAATTAGTGGACCAGCAAAATGTTGTGGCCATAACTTACTTGGATTTCAGTAAGGCATTTGATAAAATAGATCACAACCTACTACTTGATAAGATAGAAAAATATGGGTTAAATAGCATCACCAGATGGATTCATAATTGGCTGACCAACAGCACTCAATGTGTAGTCCTTAACTACATCTACATGAAGGGAAGTATGCAGTACTATTTTAGGCCCAGTACTCATCAAAATTTTAGACGACACCAAGTTGGTGGGAAAAGCTAACAGTCCAGAAAATATGCTCAAGATCCAGAAGGAAGGATCTTGATAGACTTGAACACTGGGCCCAATCCAATAAAATGGAATTCAGTGGTGTGAAAAGTAAGGTTTTATACTTGGGCAAGAAAAACTAAATGCACAGGTATAGAATAGATGGTACCTGCTCAATAGTAACATGCATCTCGGAATTCTGGTGGATAACAACTTAAATATGAGCCAGCAGTATGCTGCAGCTGCCAAAAACACAAGCTTAGGCTGCATTAACAGAGGGGTAGACTCAAGAGCACATAAAGTGTTAGCACCACTTTATAATGCCTTGGTAAGATCACATGGAATATGGCATCTAGTTTTAATTTCTTCTGCAAAGAAAAGCAAAAAGATCATTAGGCTATTGGAGGCTAAAGGATATTAACAACACTTGCAGGAACTAAGTATGTCTAATCTAATGAAAAGAAGGACTACGGGTGACATGATGGAAACTAATCAACGGAAGATCCAACCTAGAAATGAGAAATTTCCAGACAAGGAGAACAATAAACCAGTGGAATGGCTTGCCTTCAGAAATTGTGGGTGCTCCATCACTGGAGATTTTTAAGAAGAGATTGGGCAGCCCTTTGAAATAGTATAGGGGTTGAACTAGAAGACTTCCAAGGTTTCTTCCAATTGTCATTCCATTCCATTCCATTCCAAAAGCAATTAGAAAACGAAGTCTCTACTTGGTAAAGAGAGAAACATTATTGAGCTAATTAATTCTGAATCTTTTAATGTAATTATTACTTTGTATCATGGACCTAGGCAAAAAGTTTCTATCTTCCACTCACCAGTATTAAATAGCTGTCTTGTATTACAAACAGGTGAAAAAAAAACTTAGATCACTTGCGTTTCTTCTACTGCCACTAACCCTAACCCCTAGAGTTGGACATGATTGGACAGCAGAAACCTTAACTTTATCTTATGTATTTACAACAGTTGTAGCATCCTGGTGTTATGTGATGGCCATTTGCAACCTTCCTAGATGTCTTCGAACAAGCAAAGTCAATGGGGGAAGCCAGATTTGCTTATTACATGATTCACTTAATTGCAGTGATTCACTTTAACAACCATGGCAAAAAAGATCATAAAATTGGGCCTGACTCACTTAACAATTGCCTTGCTTAGCCACCGAAATTCTGGTCTCAATTGTGGCTTACCAAGAACTACCTGTATATACCTAATGGTTGTTCAACTAACCTGTAATTACATTTTTTAAAAAAGAAAGGTAAATTAAGACCTTTTAATTCTTTTGAAAGGATTCATAAAATAAGAAATAAGATCTGACTCATCCACCTACATGGCAAGTGATGGTTTTTAGCCAAGGCGTGGCTAAAAACCATCACTAGTTTATAATTTGAACTGTTTAAGATGAAATTGATTTTTCTGTTTTAGTGCATCTTAATGGCAGGAAATGGGCAAAGTACAGACATACCATTAGCTTTGCCTTTATGCGTGAATATTAAGAACTGAGAATAAATGTATGTTTTGACTACAAAATGGATACAAATAGGTTTCTTTTTTACAGCATTGTGTTCTTCCTTATAATTGTTCTTTTTTGCCTGCCACTAGCAAAATAGACCTGAAAAGTTTTTGCCTGCCGCAGATGTAATCGATCGGTCCAATATCCTTCTTGTAATTACGGCATGGTATCATAAATTTGCTGAAGTAATTTAACCATCAATCGATGAACCTAACTCATTTGATGGGGGGGAGAAATGCAAGACATCCAAAATAAGCAGTCTTAATCGATTGGTGGGCAAAACTCAGGAACAAAAACTTTTGGGGCATGAAAGTAATAAGATCCGAATTGTGCATCAATTCAACATATTTTAGCTCCTGACAACATAATTTAACTACCGTACATGGGTTGGATCTGAATGCGAGACCAAAAAGTAGTTGGTAATAGTACTGTAATCTAGTATGTGTTGCTTAAATGATCTCTGCTCTCTGTATTTATAGTCAATGGACTCTTCACCATGTATATGGTGGATGATTATGGTGGACTAGTTCTCTAAAGACTACGCTCACAGTCTCTAGAGATTCTCAGTCATCCAGGTCATGGTTGTCCCAAAGGTGCTTTTTCAGGAGACTTTCTTTTTTTTCTTTAAAGACGTTTCGCTTCTCTTCCAAGAAGCTTCTTCAGCTCTGACAGGATAGTGGAGAATGGAAGAATTTATACTCCTTGCAGATAGCTGGTCGAGTGTCTTTAAAGCACCTGGGAGTTTACCTGTGTCCTCAGGGTCACCTGAGTAGTGCTTCTGGTTCCTGTAGTCTGAATTTTTTCCTGTGGAAATCCATTCCTACTCCCACACCATTCAAAGAGCGTTCATTCCAAATTGCATAGCTAAAAGAGATTCTCAGTCATCCAGGTCATGGTTGTCCCAAAGGTGCTTCTGCAGGAGGCAACTGGGCTTTCTCGTTTTTTCTTTGAAGACGTTTTGCTTCTCATCCAAGGTTCTTCAGCTCTGACAGAATAATCAGATACAGATTAACAGAAGGGACCTTATAGATCATCTAGTCCAACCCCACCCCCCATCCCCCACTCAAGCAGGAGACCCTACACCATTTCTGACAAATGGCAGTCCAATCTTTTCTTGAAAGTCTCAAGTGATGAAGCTCCCACAACTTCCAAAGGCAACTTCTGTTCCATTGGTTGATTGTTCTCACTGTCAAAAAGTTCCTCCTCATTTCTAGGTTGAATCTCTCCTTGGTCAGTTTCCATCCATCATTGGAAATATATCCTCCTTCCATTCCCCATCATCCTGTCACAGCTGATGAAGCTTCTAGGTCAGAGGTCTTGCTGGAGCATAGCTGGCTGGAGAATTCTGGAAGTTGAAGTCCACAAGTCATAAAGCTGCCAAGTTTGAAGACCTCTGTTCTAGGTTGAGAAGCGAAACGTCTTCAAAGAAAAAAAAAAAAGACAGTCCAGTTGCCTCCTGAAGAAGCACCTTTGGGTCTACGCTCACAGATGTTCTCCAGGGCAAGCCTCGGCACTAACTGGGATGAAGGTAAACCACGCCTTCGCTATCTTCCCGGCTGTGGGCCGATCTCCGTGATGTCACAAAGGGGAAACAAAAAAAAACAGAAGACAAGACCGGCGTTGTAAAGAAGCCGGAAGCTTCAGGTTGCCGTGAGGACACTTAGGGGAGAACTGCAAGAAGGGAGGGGTCGTGCCTAGAAAGCAGGAGTGCTTAAAATAAAACAAGGCGGAGCGTGTCGAGAATCCCACCAATCGCCGCGGCCAAAGGAAAGGGGGCTCTGGGAGCCTTCCTTCCTTCCTTTCCTTCCTTGCTTTCAACGGAGTTGAAACTCAGAACCGCCACGAGAGTCGCGGGGCGCGGGAGTCACGGACTTGGCAAGAATTGCTTACAATGAAGGTTACAGTTTGCTCTCATGGTAACTGTAATAACGTATACTTATACTTATTATAATTATAATTAAATTATAATTATTATTAATACTGGTAACTGTAATAAGGAATCCTGTGCTCTTTCTAAAGGATCCATTCCTTTCAGGAATCCTGTATTGCTCGGTCGCAGGTAGTTAAGTGGAGTTACTAATAAGCGGAGTTACCCTGGAGAAAGTCTTTCCGCCCGGGAGCGTTTTACCGACGACTTTTGTCTGGGCGAATCTTTTTTCAAAATTCAGCGTTCGACGATTTAACTTTTAACCCAGAGTTTTATAAAGCGTTGAACGGTCCTCGGTCTGATCGGAAAGCTGGTGTCTCTACTCACCCACCCACCCTCTCTCACGTTCCTTTTCCGATGGTCGGAGCAAGGTCCCGTTGTTGTTGCTACCGTACGTGGCTGAAACATGGTCAAACGGGCAGGGAAACGAGCGAGAGCCCAGGAGGTGGAAGATACGCTCTGTTGCTGCGAGTATCTCGATCGGAAGGGCCAAAGGAGCCACCTAGCGGCGTGTCTCTGCGAATGCGAGGACCTCGACGAGTGCTGTGAAAGGTAAAGAGGGGGTGGGGGTGGGGGCTCTTTCTGAGGATTTCCTCAAGCTTGAGATTCGTGGCTATGGGCATGTTACTGGCCTTGATGGGTAGCAGTGGTGGATTTCAAAAAATTTTACTACCGGTTCTGTGGGTGTGGCTTAGTGGGCGTGGCATGGCTTGGGCGTGGCAGGGGAAGGATACTGTAAAATCTCCATTCCCACCCCGCTCCAGGGGAAGGATACTGTTAATATTTCCATTCCTTCCCCAATCCAGGGGAAGGTTATTGCAAAATCCCCATTTCCTCCCGATCAGCTGGGACTTGGGAGGCAGAGAATAGATGGGGGCGGGGCCAGTCAAAATTTTTACTACCAGTTCTCCGAACTACTCAAAATTTCTGTTACTGGTTCTCCAGAACTGGTCTGAACCTACAAAAACCCACCTCTGATGGATAGCTCTGGATTTTCACATGGTTTAGTATATGGTACCTGTTAATGGTGAAATCCAAAATTTTTTACTACCGGTTCTGTGGGCGTGGCTTGGGGAGCATGGCAGGGGAAGGATACTGCAAAATCTCCATTCCCCCCCACTCCAGGGGAATGATACTGCAAAATCCCCATTCCCATCCCACTCCTGGCGGAAGGATACTGCAAAATCTCCATTCCCACCTCGGGCCAGCCAGAGGTTGTATTTGCCGGTTCTCCGAACTGCTCAAAATTTCCGCTACCGGTTCTCCAGAACCTGCTGGATTTCACCCCTGGTACCTGTTAGGATAGATTGTCGATCCCACCCACATTGCTGATAGACTTAGACTAACTTTATTGTCACTTGAATGTACACTAATCAGCAAACATTAAAATGAAATTTCGTTGCATAGAGCTGTCAGAGGGTCCCCACCTCTAATATACTACATAAACACAACAAAATAAATAAATAAATAAAAATTATGCATATTCCCACATATATGACACAGAAAACAACATTGTCTAGTTCGGATGTATACGTGGACATGGTGAGAGAAACAAATCTTGTGAGTTTATCAGACGGATGGCATAGGGAACAAAGCTTTTACAGAATCTGGTAGTCCTGTTAGAAATACTTTGAAACCTATTCCCAGAGGGGAGCAACAGAAACAGACTGTGAAGTGGGTGTGTGGGGCCTCTAACAATGCTTTGAGCTCTAAGCACATAGTGCTTATAAGCAGTATCTTGAATGACAGGAAGCGAGCTTCCTATAATCTTCTCTGCTGTCCTTACACTCTCTGAATGGACTTTCTATCTGAGGCACTGCTGCCACCAAACCAAACAATGATGCAGTTTGTTAAAACACTCTCAATCATATCTCTGTAAAAAGTAGCCAGGACAGGAGGAGAAAGATGTGCTCTTCTCATCCAACAGAGGAAATGCAGACGCTGGTTTGCACGCTTCACTAATGATGATGTGTGAAGAGACCAGTTCAGATTGTTACTTATCTGTATCCTCAGAAACTTAATACTGTTGACCATCTCTACAGCTGCATCCTTGATAACTCTACTACCTTTACCTGGTACTACTACCTGGTAGTCCACGTGGATAAAAAAAGATTCTGTCTTCCCATACTGATGCCTTTCTGACTAATTAGGTCTACAGGTCCCTTCTTTCTGTGCAAATAGCCTTGTTGGTTAGTGATGCTATTGCCTTGCATAGGTTAAAATGTAAAAACAGAAGATGAACTTCCCACCAACTGTTGTATTTTTGCTGATAGCATGGATCGGTGTCCCCTGAATCATTGCCCTCCAAGTGTGTTGGGTTACAGTATTCATCACTGCTAGATTTGAAAGTGATGGGAATTGTGATCCAGTTCAATTAGCAGACAGTAGGGTGGAAGTGTTGAAATGTGACAGATGTTCTCTGCTGGATTATGATTCTACTTCCCTTGTGTGGGATGTAAAGAACAGAAACTTGTCTGGAGCTGGTGACTGTCCAAAGGTGCTATTGCTTTTTCTCATATGAACATGTCCTTAGAAAAGCATGCTTATCTCCTGTAAAAGTAGAATCTAAAGATTTTCTCCCTGTAAATTCTGATGTGGTGCAAGTTAATGTGACAGAAACTAGCAGAAATGTTATTTCGTGTTCTGTTTGGTCTAATATGAGCAGAATCTGTGCTTTTTCCTAACAGATGGATGACTTGCAAATCTTTACCTCCTGGAATATTGGAGAGAATCACAGAAACCTTCACCGATCGTTTCCGTTTTCCATGGATTCGAGGGGCTGTAAAGATCGATATCAGCCTCCTTCCGCCAATCGTCTTGCTTCCTTTTTTCCTTCACGTAGCAGCTTTGCACTTCCTTTTGGCCCTCGTCATCCTAATATCGCTTCCCATACTAGTACTATGGTATTACTACCTCACACATAGGAAGAAAGGTCAGACTCTCTTCTTCTTAAGCCTGGGCCTATTCTCCCTAGGTTACATGTACTATGTATTTCTCCAGGAAGTGGTTCCCCGGGGCCATGTGGCATACAGTCAGGTGGCTCTTCTTACTTGTGGGTTAATCCTGATGCTTGTAGCCCTACATCGAGCCAAGAAAGATCCTGGCTACCTTTTCAGCCAAATGAACAGCGACAAAGCACTTCACCAAGGCAGTTGCAGTAATAACATGTTCAATAAGAATGGCCTGGGAAACTCCAATGGGCTTTGCAGAGTACCTGCTTCGGGTGTTGCTGTACACACTAACACTGAGAGCTACTCCAGAATATTGGAAGCAGAGACAGGTCAGGGCTCAAAGGACTGGTGCACCAAATGTCAGTTGGTTAAACCAGCTCGAGCTGGACACTGCCGAATATGTGGCAGGTGTGTGAAGAGATTGGATCATCACTGTGTCTGGTACGTTCCTTAGTTGGCCTTGATGTTTTTTCCTAACGCTTCTGTTGCCAGCAAGCTGTAGTTCTCTCTGAAATATTGTTCTACCTTGGTTTTATCTATACGTGAGTGGTTCCATAGACTTGTTATCTCTGTTGAACAGATTGGGTTCCTAAGCCTTTATCTTTGGGCTGCCTTTTGTTCGCCGTTAGTTGGGGAATTTCTGTTCAAAGTTATAAATATCAGTGTTCCCATTACTACCCAGAGGCGGCAGAAGTGAAATACAGGGTTTTCTGCAGGTAAATCATACCATCAGGATGTAAGAGTTGAAGGGACTTTGGATATCGTCTGTTATAGCCCCCTGTTTAATGCAGTATGAGCTCTACGACCGCAGAGCATTATTACTAATTTTCCAACTCGCATGAAAGAAACCAGAATGATTTCTTTCAGAGCTTCACATATTCTGTAGGGTAGAAAAGCAGAGTTATCTGCACATTTAAATTGCTTCCATGGATATAAAGCTTATCAAAGATTTGGAATGATTTCCTTATAAAAAAACTGACATGGAACTTGGCAGAGGTGAACAGAAGAGCAGATTAAGGTAAGCAGACAGTGAATGGTGTGCAGCATCTGCTACATTGGACAATTCTTACCCAAGTTCATTTTATAAAGATTAGTGCAAGGCATTTGTTAAATAGCAAGCACATAGTCTTTGAAGCATATGAATAGAATTTATGCACGTTTGGGGCATACAATTTTTTGGAATATAGATCATAAACAATTCTGGTTGAGATTGTTCCTGTTTCAGCAATGAGATCTTTTTGGTAGCAGCTTCTCTTAAGCAATACAGCATGTTCCTCAGTTATATTTATACAAGTGTCTCTTGAATACCCCTCCCCATATCTGCTTCCTTTTCTGATTTGACACCTGTACTTTTTCTTTCATCCAAATCACAAAGTAGTTGTGTTTACTTTGTAAGCTGTGAATAGACGGTTATTTCAGATTTTTTAAAAAATGAAGTCAAGTATTTAATGGGCACTTTGGATTCTACCTTTTTCTAAATCATGTTACTATAATATCATATTTCTCCTTTGTTTCTTGGAGGATTAACAACTGTGTTGGAGAACAGAACCATCAAGCTTTTGTCCTTGCCCTCTTCCTTTTTCTGCTCACTTCAATATATGGGATTTCTTTGACTTTGGATACCATTTGTAGAGGAAAAAAACACCCTCAGTGCTCTGTTCTACTGTCCTGGTGTCTATGGAGAATACAGGTGAGAGAAATGCTCACTAACTTGATAGGATTAAGTCAAGATAATCCCTAGAAGAAAATTGTGGGAATTCTGTGGTTTTTTTAGTCTATGGAATAGTTTTATTTGCTCATTTACATGAGAAATTTTGCACGTTCATAAGGAAAATGTAATTGCTTTCCAATGTGATGCATTGGGAGCTTAATGTTACATATTCTTCTGTGGAGGAAATTTCCATCTTCTCACTTTTTTTGACTGCTAGCGAGAGTTCTCATACTTTGTTCTTTCTTGTCTTTTTTAGTTGAAAAGAGTATAATTCTCTAGCTTCACTTATATGGGGTATGCTTCCACGTTGGCTTACTTTTTTTAATAATCCGTATTGGGTTAAAATCTTGAGTTTATTTAAGTTATTTCTGGAGAAAAAAGTTAAACCATTTATATGCAGTCATTTTAATTCTATCTTTCCTCCCTAAAATAGTCATAGATGTGTGCTAAAAAGAGTAAAATGATATCACATAAAGTAACCGGCAATAACATTGATAGGGCATTTAGAAAGGTAACAGGTGCATACCGAAGGACTGAAGTATCCTTCTAGATCAGTGGTCACCAACTGGTGGTCCATGGACCACTGGTGGTCCGCAAGAAAATTTTGGTGGTCCGCAGAAAAATTATTTGCATTTTTTATATTGCACTAAATCAGTGGTCCTCAATCTATGGCCCCTGGGCCGGATCGTGCAATGAACGTTTGTGTTGCTACAGAGAGTCTCCCCCTTCAGGGTATTTTTCTGCGGGTCAGAGGGGGGCAGAAATTTTGACTTGGGGTCTGCTTTGGCCTCCTGGTGCGGGGCTTTGGGTGAAGGCTGGAGGGAAGTGCCGCTGGTGGCGAAGAGCCCAAGGGTCTTGTTCCAGTGAGACAGCATCATGGCCTGGAACTGGCTGACCATCTTAGCCCGCTGAGCTTCCAGGCGCCGGTACCTGGCCTTGCACTCCCGCAGATCTTCCCTCTGCTTGGAAAGCCTATGCTCGTAGTCCTCAGTGAGAGGCTTCTGCTGAGCCTCCTTCTCGGTCAGATCCAATTTGAACTGAGTGGGCTGTTTTGCCAGCTCTTTCTCGTGGTGGCTGCTTAGCTCCAACAACTGCTTCCTGTTGGGGCCCTAAGGAACCCGGGCAGGGAGGCGAGGGGTGGCAAGTAGAGGCTTGCAAGGCACCACTTGTTATGAGTTACATCGAGTTGGCCACGCCCACCCAGTCATATGACCACCTTGCCACCCCCACCCAGCCGGTCATTAGGCAGATCATATTAGTGATCCGTGGGATTTAAAATTATGAATTTAGTGGTCCCTGAGGTCCGAAAGGTTGGGGACCCTTGTTCTAGATCAGCTTTATACTAAAAAAAGGGAAACAAACACATCACCAGGGGGAGAAGTGATTTGGTGGCAGAGAGTCACCACAAATAATTCCATCTTGTATGTTGTTAGAATAAGAATATTCATTTTATTCCCATATTTAATCTAACAAATTAGGATTCGATGCTTTAAAATTATACACATGGCTTACTTGCTACTGCAGTTTACCAGAAATAGGAGAATGCTCCAGACTAGCAATGGGAAATAATTTTTGTTCATGAACTTTTGTATTAATCATGCCTTTCTGTTCCTTATTTAGTTCAGCCCTGACATTCACCTGTGTATGGTATTGCGCCATTGTAACTTCTGGTATGAGCTACATCCTTCTTCTTCAGCTCTTGAATATCAGCTGTAACATGACTGAGAGGGAAGCTCGCATTGCATTACGGGAGAATACTGGAAGGAGGTTATTATGGGGTATGATGGTTGATACGGGACAATATAATCAAGGTTTTCTATCCAATTGGATCCAGTTTTTTCACCTTGCGCTCATCTGATCTGCAGCAGAGTGCTGAGGATGTCGTATGAAGGAATTTTTAACTATTAACTTTATCATGTATCGAAAGGCGTTCTGGGCAAATAGCTCTCATCTCTTGCAAATGAAGACTGGCGCACGAAGATCCTTTTAAAGCCATATAGCAAAGTGCAATACCACTTTCTCAAAAATATGCCAAATGTTTTGCAGGAAGACCTTGGTATGATTGGGATTGCTTATATTCTTCACTTGATACCTATTAGTGTCAGGTGAGGAAACAGAAATATAAAAACAACCATCACAAGTGAAAGAAGCAGAGACTTCCCTGTTGAGGTCGATGTGACCTTGAAGTTTTAGCATTTCCTTGAAGGCAGCACATACTTTCTGTTCTCTGCTCATTCTGTGGCATATGTGGATATATGAATCAGGTGGTCAGAGTATTATGCTGGGAAGTCATAGATTTGAGAGAGGCAGTGTCATATGGTTACAACAAAATGAGTTTCCTTTAATACATTGTTTCTTTATAGAGCATTTATTGTGAGGGCAAAGGTATTTAACTCTGAGCAGAAGAGTTTCACTCCACAACTTTCCAATTTGTCAGTTATGAATTAGATACAGTATAACAGAGTTGGAAGGTACCTTGTAGGTCATCTAGTCCAACCCACTGCCCAAGCTGGAGGCCTACACCGTTTCTGAAAGATGGCAGTCTAGTCTCTTCTTGAAAGCTTCCGGTAATGAAGCTCCCACAACTTCCGAAGGCAAGCGGTTCCATTGGTTGATTGTTCTCACTGTTAGAAAATTTCTCCTTATTTCTAGATTGAATCTCTCCTTGATCCTGTTTTTTTTTTTTTTTTTGCATGTTGGTTATAGGAGTGATCCTGATATGTTATTTTCGGGTTCTGATTTTTCTATTTGGAATTCCTGTCTTCTTTGGATTCACACCCCAAATTTAACAGGCTGCATACTTAATTTTATGCATTTCTCTGATGCAAAGATAGTTATTAACTGGATAGTGGAGAAGGTTCTCAGTGTCGTTTAATCATGATGTATTGTAGCCAAAACACTTGAATTTTTTAAAACTTGATTGTTATAAACCCTGAATTTTGTTAATGGATATAAGAAATTAAAAAGGGAACTTCCCTCATTTTTATGCTTTTACCAAAAAAAGGAAGAGCTCTCCAATGTTGTACTCTTTAATATCTTCGCATTACAAGAGCAGAGATATATAAGTGCCTATAGGATGGGCTTTTTTTAAAGCTGTGATTTGCATAGCTGATTTAGTATTTTTTTTTATTACTTGCTTACTTTGAGAATACGATTGCTTTTGATTAATATACTTATCCCTTGCCTTAAAATGGCTCATAATGAACAATGTAAGATCAGAATTGCAAAAGCTATTTCTGCATTAATTTAATTGGTTCATATATTTATATGAACTGCCCAGAGTTGCTGAGAGTCAGATGGGTTATGTTTTTTTCCCTTCATTCATTTGTGTCTGATTCTCGAAGACTGCCTAGACAAGTCCCTGCAATTTCCTTGGCAAGTTTTTTTTCAGGGGCCATTGCCTCCTTCCCAGGGCTGTGATAGTGACCAGCCCAGGTCACCCAGCAGGCTTTGTGCCTAAGGCAAGAATAGAAGTCACAGTCTCCGGTTTCTAGCCTGATGTCTTAACACCAAACTCTAAGCTCTCATATATTAAATAAATAAATGAAGTAGCTAGTAAAAGCCCTTAAAACATTCAAATTCAAAATCATGTAAAATCAACAACTACTTTTGATTGAAAAAAAATATTGCAAATTGCAAGTGATTAAAATCGCAGCTGATTATGGATCATCAGCCTAAGTGTGGTTTCTTGTTTGAGGGCCATATAAAAAATCCATCAAACTGAATTTTAAACATTTTAAATCATACAAGTATGATTTGTAGAACTACAATGCAATCAAATTGTGAAAAGTCCAATTATATTAAGAAAAACAGTTGTTTGGAGAATTAGGAACTGTAGAAAATGTAGCTCCAGTTCTTTTTCTCTGTTATAAAGATGAACATATGCTAGATTATTTTTTTGCAGTTGTTGGCATTTGCTAAAATTCGCAAAATATATATATGAATCATATATATTATACATGCATGCACACATCTCAACAGAAATATCATTCTAAAGATGATATTAACACCATTATAGGATTATATTATGTACATGCTAAAGTCTAATAAAAACCTGGTAATCTTCTAAGTAGCTAGCCAGTAACAAGAAACAAAATCCTTAAATTTTTAAAACACACATATAATTCCAGCTTCTCAGTTTTAATATTGGCTTGAAATGGTAAAATATACATATTTATAACAACCAAAAATATGTTTTAGATAGTGTAGATAGCTATACTTGGAAGAAATTATTACTAATTTGAAGAAAAGAGTGGCCATGTAAAGACAATTCAATGTAGCTACAATTAAGCTAACTGAAAGTGACTTCTAAGCACTTATTGCGTATTGCAGTGAAGTAGAATATAATCTAGAGTGAAACTAGTCACTTAGCTACCGAGATGAGTAGTGCCTAAATTTGATAAATACCAACTAGCCTTTGGAATTCTACAATTCTGAAACACTTAAGATTGTATTACAGCATTTTCTATTTAAAATATCTTCTGTGTTACTCAGTCAATTCCAGTCTAGAGGTTATGGTGAACTTTGAAGGAGCAGGCTTCCTGTGTTGCTTTCGTTGATCAAGATCAAATGTTAGTAATATAGAAGTTTTACTGTGAGCTCATTAGGAAGCAGAAGCTCCTTCGTATTTATGCAATAATTGTTCCATTGCCATATTTCTGACTTAAGTAATATATATCATAGCTCACACAAATATTATTTTAATGGTGCTTTTTTATTTTATACCAAATTAGTCTTTAAAATAATTTGAGATAAGAATGCTTTCTAAAGCAAGAAATACCTGCCTAACAATCTAATGTCTTAAATGTTCTCTGATTTTAATCAAATCATGAATGTATTTTGCTCTTGCAGGATAGTATCAAAGTTTTTTCCCCATATATATAAATATCTTTTTCAAAATCTGTTTTTCCATCTCACTGTACAGTAGAGAACATTAAGAAAACAGGACATTTTCTTTCTTGTTGGTTTACAATTTTTAGATTTCCCCCCCCACAGTTGGAATATGTGATGTATATTATAAAATTGCTTCTATCTGAACTATTTATTTAATTTTGAAATATTTTATCTATAAATTTGATTGCATAGTGGAGTATTTATTTTTATAACCTTAATGTTTGCTATTAATACGTTAAATGTTTAAATTATATTAAGTGAATAAAGCTATAGTACAATGTCATCATTAAAAACAGTGATTCAATAAACCACATTGGCTATCTTTTTCATTTGTTCTTTTTATGTTTTTTAAATATGAGGATGAGGGGAAAGATGGGTTAAGTTTTATATGTATACTGATAAACCTAATTGCTAATAAGTTGCAGGGAATGGAGGGAATTTAATGTTTTATACTCAGAATTTTTGAAGCTTGAAATAAAAAGTATGATTACTAACTATGCAGTTAAACATTATTTGATAAAAAATTAGGGTACTGAATAGGGATTTTTTATAAACTTCCCTAGAATAAACTTCCATATAAACTGTAGAAAAAAACTTGTATAAATTTATTCTATGTGTGATTTCTAATAATAGATGAATACATTTGAACTACAAATGGAAGAATAGCATTTAAAGCTGTCCCTATTTGTCCTTAAAGAATGAATATTTTTTGAGGCAAAGCAAACTTGTGGATGACCAGCAAATGGCTCTTTAGATTTAGAGGTCTTATATATGGATGGATTGTGAACCATCAAGCTAATGTGAACTCTTAGTGACCACATAAACCAATAATGATTGGTTTGCCACAATGGAGTATTATACTGATATATAATTAATAATCAAGGGCAAACTGGGCTACATTTTGCAAAGAGATCAGTGACTTGCCCATGGTACTATAAATGTGGCACAAAGGAAGCCAAAACTAGCTTCCAAAACTAAAGAAATTCCACATTTGAAAGCAAAGTTCCTGGCCGGAATTCTTGTATTAACACTTTAACATTTTTCTTAATAAAAATTACTAATCCAGTTTTAGAGATAATTTATTTCTTTGCTGTTTTTCTATTATAACTTTTTGTAGTTATAATTGTTACTAAGGTGATTTGACCTTCATGTTTCTAATTCAGTTTTCAGCCAAAAATTATCAGCTGTAGAATGAAAATTCCATCTGGAAGTTGAAGTGTTAACAGTTTAGAAACTCAGAATATGTGAAGCAGCAACAGAATTTTGTAGGCAACAAGGGAGACTGACAACTGGCAAATTCCAGGGCTTCAGGTGGCTGAAGGAGGATGCATATGAATGTGAGAAACAAATCTTCCTTTAAAAGTGACTGACTTACAAATGTGTAAATATAACATACAGAACTTTACCATGTGCCTCAAATCTGGGATTAACTACTGCACTTTTCAAAATAGATATAACAATGACCCTTCTAGGCAATTGATGTTGTGTGTCATGAATGCCAAAACAATAGTTATTACAGTATTTCTAGTTACAGTAACAGTGAAAGGCATTTGTATGGATTACCTTAGTTGTCTAGAGAGCACAGAAGTGTATTCCAACATTGTGGAAACTGATTGTCTCACAGCAATTGGGGAAAAGACCAAGGGTAGCTGGTATTGATTAACTGGTTGCTTTTGCATTTATATTACAGCTGTTTGAGATAGATAACAAAATGTCTTGATGTGGGTGTATGCAGATAGTAAGGACCATAACTATGTTCACACCATGAGCTCTTAACAGCTGAACAGCAATAGACAAATTCTGTTTTTAAGGTCAATTCTGATTGCAAAGCAGACATTCATAGGATTTCCCTTGCAAACCAAAGATACTGCCACATTGTTGATAGAAGGAAAAAGGCAAACAGGAATGAGTTTACTGAAATGGTGCTACAGAGACAATCTCAAGAGGAAATTTGCCTCATGGACTTTTTTCCCCTTCCAAGTTTTATTTGTCCTCTAGTCTGAAATTCTTTTGTCATGCTTGGAAATCTGGCAAAATTTCAGATACTCTCTTTCTTAGCTTTTCTAGTCTTTCTTCTTTTTTTCTTTCCTCTTTCATCTGATCTGGGTACTGTTGCCAGGCTCTGAATGCAAGTAGTATCATTCTCCTGTATCACAAAAATGTTTAAAAGAGGGAAAATAACAACAGAATTGTAAGAAGGCATGCGTATGTTTATTTTTTAAAAAATATTCTCATACTTGCCCCATATTGAATAAACAGCTTTAAAATATGCTATTATGTTGAGGCAGAGATGTACTATAAACAATGTACTATTTCCTCCTTATTTTTTAGGAACATGTCAGCTTGTTGGATAGGGAATTTCCATAGAGAAAAGAGATGCTAAATGTCACTAGTCTCTAGACCAGGGCTGTCAAACTCCCGGCCCACAGGCCAGATGCATCACATGCTGGCCACGCCCATGCCCGGTTTAGCGAAGGGGGGGGGAGAAAGTCCCGATACATCACATGACACAGCCGTGACAACTTGAGTTTGACACCCTTATATAAAAGATACTGAAAGTTTTTCCTTATCTATGTAGAGAACTAGTTGCCAAGATTTTATACCGTCTGAAACGGTATGTCAAACATAACAGTGGTTTCATTTTCATGAAAGTGAACTGAATGTTCAAGGGCCTATGTAATCCAGCATTCTGTATTATATCTCACAGATAGGGACAAGAGGGCAGTAACTGAATTTGCTCTAGAAAAACAGGTATTTAAATAGTTAAATATCATCAGAAAACTTTGATTCTTACATTGTTCATCATTCTTACAAGTGGAATATATTGCTAATAGTTTTTAATTATTAGGTTGCATTTCACTTTTTCTTTCAAAAATATATTAATCCCACACCTTTCTATCCCTGTGAAGTAAATTAAACAGAGAATGAGTTTTGTGGCTACGTGAGGATGTGAGTCTCTCAACTCATTTTATCACTAATCAATCACACTGCCTTCCAAGAGACCTTTATGCATAGATGTTTCTTTTCCATTTATAATTTTTATTTGTGGTTTTTTAAAACTAAGTGATACACTCAAATAGACTGAGTCATACATTTAGTATTCTCTGTGGTTTGGTCTGAAAAATCTCAGAATCCTCTTCCTTTTTAATTCAACAGATTACAAGAAAAGGATTTGGAATCCTGTCTATATTTTGTAATATAATTTTCCCCATGAATAGTAAGATTCTGATTTTATTCAGTCTAAAATAAGGCTGTTCTGTTTAGCATAGAGCAAAGCCCATATATTAGTAAAAACACCTATCATTAGACACATATTTAGTCAAACATTAAACATACTGTCTTCAAACAGAAATGAGCCTTGTAAATAATGCAAGACAACTTTTGATAAATCTCAGTACTTTACAAGAAAAAGCTGAATACAGTAGATTCTGTTGCAAAGAAAGGACCATAGATGTTCCCATGAAAGACAGTAAATGTTATGTACAACTCTAAGGGAACTTTATTTAGTTTTTAAGTCTTGCATAAAGGCTGTTGCTTAGAATTTTTTTTCCTATGATGATAAATGAATATGGAGTTTCCAAATGAAGTGTGTTGATAGAGAAAATGAACTGAAATTAAGTTTATTAATTTCAATTCAGTACTACCCTGGTACTGGGTTTGCCAAATTTATTCAATGGCTGGTGATTCTCAGCATCTGCACCAAATAACAAGAGGATAGACATATGCTAGAGCTGCACTTCTACATTGTGTTATGTAGAAGTTAAACTTCTAAAAAAGCATTGAATTCAGTAGAGGATACCTTTGAATAGTATTGTATTGTTAGGAGTACTAGCTTTCTGTAGAGCGAAATATGGGCTGAACAGTAAGCAATAACAGCCTATAGCCCAAGCACATTGCTAGAAGAAGGGAAGAACCAGATTTTCTATCTGGTATGGTTCATTCTGTTTAGTGATATAGTTATATGGCTGGTTTGTACACAAAGATAAATTTAACATATAAGTTGTATCTAAATTACATATCCTCGAAGCATGATTTGCATCTTGTTTCCCAGAACAAAGAAATGAATGCATGCACACACACAATGTTCAGATGATTCCAAAGGAACCTAAAGAACAAGGAACATACTGTAGAATTCTTGCAATAAATACAATCTAAATGAAAATGCCTTTCGTATATTCATTTTTACCTATTAAAGTATTGATCTGCGGTCTTTTGTTTCGCCCACAATATACTTTTCTCCTCATTTACCAAATCAAACCAAGAGCCAAATAACTTCTTCTTTAGGGTAGTTTCATGCATTTTGCTTGCACTCTCTTCCAGAGTAAGTGTGTAATCCTTATACTGAAAGAAGTCCAATGAAAGGAAAAAGGTGTCACTCAATTACTGTATGTTTACATTTTATACAACAACATAGCAACAGAAGTAGGTGGAAGAAACAAAATATTCTACTGCATGTGTCAAAGGAAAAAACCCTCACAATGCACAAATGTGAATGTACAATTCAGCATGTGGTATGATACACACAAAAAAATATGCTTTATGCTCCCTCCGTCTTCATTACTTCAAACTCCTGGTCTCCAGTCTAGATTAGATTAGAATCTTTTAGAAAATGCCTACAACTACTTTTAAAATATATATATATATATATACCTTCCCTCTTGCTCACCTTTATCCAACACCTGAACGATCTTCTAAGCAATTGAGAGCAATGGAGACCCTCAGCTTGAGCTATTTTCCTTGAATGTATTTCTTGCATATGATGAAGCCAGGCAAGAAGACATTTCTGCTGCAACGTAGTACAGTGATGACTTTGGGCCATCTAAATTCAGAGATCAAGAAAAGACATGGTTACTGGTATAAATGGATGCAAGGGCGGTCCTGTAACTAAGGTTGTGTCATTGAAACATCACTGACCAGGCCCCTTTTATTATGTCCAATGACCAAGCTGCATAGATTCCCAGAGCAAGCACATTCTTTTTTCTCCATTTCAACTTTATAGTCTGACAGCACAATTGCATCTTCAGTTATTTTAGCTGGAAATATGCCTAGAACTCAGGGCATTCATATGGATACTTGATTTGTGGGTAGTTCACATATTTTAAAAGCCATTCAAAATATATTGTTAATTTAAACACTAACTTAAACGTAAATGAGCTCCATAGCCCCAATTTTGGAAAAAAATTGCTCCTGCTATACAAGGCATTTCTGCAAATGCTGTCACAGTCTGACATTTGTCTTTTGGGCCAGAACATTTGGGGATGCTAATTATAACACTCATTCTGGATTGCTATTATATTTTCCCTTCTTTTAAACTTGTCTTCAGA